GAGCCCGGGGACCCCACCTTGACACTGAACCGTGCCTCAGTTTAGGATGGGGGGATGCAGCAGTGCAGAAAGCCTGAGAGTGACAGGGCTTCAGTGCAGAGGGAGTAGCCCAGGCCAGGGCAGGAGGAGCCAGCCCCAGGACACGTGGCCCACAGGCAAAGCCCGGAGACCTGGGTCCCACAAATGTCGGCTCCAAGGGGCAGAGATTCTAGTCAGTTTTTTGATTGTTGCATCTCCAGGTCCTTCCACAGTGCTTGGCCCATATTAGAACCTCAATAAATATTTGTTGAGTGATTGAACAGGTGTAAGGGATGATGAGAGGGTAGGGGCTTCACATCCAGATGAGCTTGGAAAGGGGATGGGATAGATAAGGTATTGCCCCATTTTGTCTTTGAGAAGATATAAAAAGAAATAGAAGACAGGGACCCTGCCCTCAGAGAACCTACACTTTAACTAGAGACATCAAATATACAATATGGAGACATCAAAAACAGTTACTGCTTTGGGGACCGGCCTGGTGGCACAGCGGTTAAGTGTGTGCGCTCCGCTGCGGTGGCCCGAGGTTTGCAGGTTCAGATCCTGGGCGCGCACCGATGCACCACTTGTCAAGCCGTGCTGTGGCGGCGTCCCATGTAAAGTAGGGGAAGATGGGCATGGATGTTAGCCCAGGGCCAATCTTCCTCAGCAAAAAGAGGAGGATTGGCATCGTATGTTAGCTCAGGGCTGATCTTCCTCACAAATAAAAACAAAACAAAAAACAGTTAATACTTAAAGAAAGTAGCTGACAAATTCAAATTAAGAGATTTCAGATCAAGTATATAAGTCCTGAGAGAGAAAGAAGAAAAGCCAAAGCTCAGAGGCTAGTGAGTTGATCTCAGATGGTTTCCTAAGAATGGTGAGTTTTTAGCCAATTTTGAAGGAAGAAAAGAACATGAATTGACAAGAGGAATTGGAAGAGTTTTCCAAACTATAAAGTAATGACCAGTTCAAAGCTTTGGAGCTGAAATGGACAAGGGCTACCACCAGGTTAACTCCATTGCAGTGAGAAGCCATGTGGGCAGCCAGAAGACATGTGCATGGGAATTCGCAAGGGGAGGGCGGGGGAAGACAGAGAAAGTCCAAGCACAAGATTTAGATTTGGGGAACTGCCAGAATGAAAGGCTGGGTTTGTCAGAAGACAAAGCAAGGGGCAAGGCATTTGCCTTTGGGGTCTTCTGAACATGAGTAACGGTGCTCAATTGGCACTGGCAGCTGGAGTATCAGAGACAGCAGCTCCTGGCCGACAGACAAGCCTTCCACATGGAGCAGCTGAAGTATGCGGAGATGAGGGCCCGGCAGCAGCACTTCCAGCAAATGCACCAACAGCAGCAGCAGCCACCACCAGCCTTGCCCCCAGGCTCCCAGCCTATCCCACCTACAGGCACTGCTGGGCCACCCACGGTCCACGGCTTGGCCATGGCTCCGGCCTCTGTGGCCCCTGCTCCTGCTGGCAGTGGGGCCCCTCCTGGAAGCTTGGGCCCCTCTGAACAGATTGGGCAGGCAGGGTCAACAGCAGGGCCACAGCAGCAGCAACCAGCTGGAGCCCCCCAGCCTGGGGCGGTCCCACCAGGGGTACCCCCCCCTGGACCCCATGGTAAGTGATGGGTTCTGGAACTCTTGCTGACCAGGGGGATCCAGGTGAATGTTCCAGTTCCCTTAGAAGGGGATACGTAGTAGGCCTGGAGAAAAGGATCAGCATCAGTTTCTACAGATGGGCCCACCTCTGTTACATCCCTGAGCCTGCAGGAATCCTTCCTCAAACCCAGTTCCAAAGATTTACCACTTATTCAGTGTCAGGAAAAGGGAAGGAGTGGCTGGGTTATCCTTGCTCCGAAGGTGAGTTGGTAAGTGAGGTTTTATGCCTCTAACCTTTTTGACCTCTCCTCTTCGTTCCCAGGCCCCTCACCGTTCCCCAACCAACAAACTCCTCCCTCAATGATGCCAGGGGCAGTGCCAGGCAGCGGGCACCCAGGCGTGGCGGGTAATGCTCCTTTGGGTTTGCCTTTTGGCATGCCGCCTCCTCCTCCTCCTGCTCCATCCATCATCCCATTTGGTAGTCTAGCCGACTCCATCAGTATTAACCTTCCCCCTCCTCCTAACCTGCATGGGCATCACCACCATCTCCCGTTCGCCCCGGGCACTCTCCCCCCACCTAACCTGCCTGTGTCCATGGCGAACCCTCTACATCCTAACCTGCCGGCGACCACCACCATGCCATCTTCCTTGCCTCTCGGGCCGGGGCTCGGATCCGCCGCAGCCCAGAGCCCTGCCATTGTGGCAGCTGTTCAGGGCAACCTCCTGCCCAGTGCCAGCCCACTGCCAGGTGAGAAGGGTCCTGGAGGGGAGAAGGGAGAGGGAGGGGTCCACATGGAGGCGGGGAGGGCAGGTGGGGAAGGGCTCAGGAACTAGAGCTTCCACAATCCTTTTTGAACACTCTGGTAAAATTAGAAGACAGGAGGATGGGCCTCTCTGGCTGTCCTCCACTGTTCCCCAACCTGGCAGCTGCCACCTCTGGGATGACGTTGGGGCCTTTCACTGGTGGGTCACGGAGGAGTCCTGTGGCACAGAGCAGCTCAGTTGTAAACTTGAAAAGCAGCTACCTGTTTGCATGATGATTGGCATCCCCTGTGCTTGTTCCTGTCATGTCCAAGTGCCCCATTTAGAGAGTTCTTTGGGGGGCAAAAGGATGACTTGGGGTTTATCAGTTTTCCCAGTGTGAGGTGCAGGGGGGGTGTTGGGAAAAGGAAGTTGTACACTGTGGGTACCTCGTTCATCTACCCACCCATTGCATGCCACGCCCGGTTCTGTGTGTCTGTGGTGGCCTCGGTCTAGAGCCCTCTCCTGCTCAGTCCAGCTGATTCATCTTTTTTCTCCACAGACCCAGGCACCCCCTTGCCACCAGACCCCACGGCCCCGAGCCCAGGCACGGTCACCCCTGTGCCACCTCCACAGTGAGGAGCCAGCCAGACATCTCTCTCCCTCACCCCCCACGGAGATCAAGGTTCCAGGAACAGCCCTCCCCCCACCACTGGGGCCCTTCCCTAGCCTGGAGAGGTCGTCACTACATAAGGAAAGCTCCTCCTGCTCCTCCAAAGCCCCCACCATGCCATCAGAGGCGTGCATTTTTATATCAGATTATTCAAGGACTTCTATTTAAAAGATGTTTCTAATGTCTGGGAGAGAGGATAGGTTGGGGATGCTGCCCTCAAAGGAAGAGCTGGGGGAGGTATTTATACAAGGTTCCAATTAACCACTTCTAAGGGTGCACCCCCTCAAAACTACTGCATTTTTTTATGGAGTAAACAAATTAAGCCCTTTAAAAGGAAGTAGAGAGATAACAAAACCACATTGGAGCTCCGGCCACCCACTAAAAAAAATCCACCTTTTACATTGTTTGGAGGAGGGAGGTGAGTTTTAGGAAAGGGGGTTCAGGTTCTGGGGAGAGGTCTGGGGATAGACTAGGTGCAGAGTCTGTCTCCTGCAGCCCGTCGTTAGTGACTGAGTCAACTCCCAACCCTCAGCCACCTCACCCCGTTTATTCCTAACTAATCTCCTGCTGCTTCCTCAGCATTGCTGGTCTAGGCCACCCAGCTCAGCCGACAAGCCCTTTCCCTGAGTGTCAGTTTTGTTTTTAAAAGTCACCTGCGTAGTTGATGTCAGTGTATGTGTATTTGGTGGGGAAACATTTGGGGGGATTCCTGTGGTAGGTAATAGAGGAAGAAAGGGCCCTTCTCCTCCCTGCCCTGGGCTCTATCATTGGGCTCCTAGAAGACGTGGAGAGGGAGCTATAAGAGGATGGGAAGTTTTAAAAACCTGAAGTTTTCAAAAAGCACTTAAGCACCTCCTTCTTATGACTCGGTGGGTCACCCCCCAACCTCTTCCCTTTCCCACCAGGACCGTCAGAACCTTGACTGGTAGCTAGGGGTTCCCTGGGATTGGGGGCAACGGGGAGGGGGTAACTGACCCCCAGCTTGCAGCTCAGTTCTGCCCCCCCGATTCCAGTGCCTCCTGCCCCAGCTGTCCCCTCTTCATCCATGTCATCCATAACGTGATTCCAGACTCTCCACTGATTCTTCTTGGTCCCTCCTGCCGGGCCCCTTGTTCCTCATGTCCCCATGTTTCTCTTCCTCTGTGTCTTGGCACCTTCTGTTTAAAAGTTTTCTGTAAATTTTCTCTTTTTCTTTTCTTTTTTTTTTTTTTTATAAATTAATTTGCTTTGAGTTCCATCTTGTGGATGCCTTCTGTTTTTACCTGTGGCTGTCAGGCAGGGAGATTGGGCTGGGGGCAGCACTCCTGGAGTCCCTCCCAGGGGCATTTACCCGGGCTGAAGAGGCACTCTGCATGCGCCAGACCCAGACAGACACTGGGTGTCTCTCCACAAAACGCTACAGGCAGCACAGCTGTCAGGACTGTGCACTATGCAGGAGCTGGGCAGAGGCTCTTACCTGCCCTAAAAATAGCTATTTCAGACTTGGAAGGACATCCTCACAACCTGGGGATTTTGTATATCCTTTCCGAAGTAGTGGCTTCATTCCTTCCCTTATTAGGTGGGGAGGAGGCAGGCATCTCACCTCCTGTTATTATTGGCCCCTAGCTCTGCCGAGGGGACAGACAGGCGCAAGCAGTGCTAATATGGCCTAGCTTTAGCCCCAATAAACAAACACTCCCTGGGCTTCCCCACAAAAGGCCTGCAGTGCTTGGGAGGGTGAGGGTTGGGAGAGCACTCAGCCTAATAGGAGATGGACCAAGGGTGGCCAGCCTTGGTCCTACAGGGATTTATGGCTTCCCTAATCCCCCAAGCAATAGCTTTTGTAGCATCAATGAATGGGGCCAGCATTTCTTAAGTGAGGCAAAGATGGCTCCTGCAGGCCCTTCTCCAGTGGTCCCCAACCTCTGGTCCACTGACCCTGGACTGCCTCACCTACCCTTTCACCTTGCTCAAGAAGGAAAGCAGAAGCACATTTAGGGCACAGAGAGCAAGTTTATTTGGTGAATGCTGACGGCAAACATCATCCAAGAGAGACCAGCTGGGAAAGGTGCCGTGACAGGAGAACTAGGAAACCTTCAGGCTACATACGCAATCTCACGTGGGAAGGCACGGGCACGGGGCACACTGGCACTGTCCTCAGCCATTCAGCACCATGCGGACGAGCTCTGTGGAAAGGAGAGGGGTGAACCGGGAGCAGGGCCAAGGGGAGGGGTCACCAGGGGCCAGGAGACCACAAGACCACGAAGGTGGCACAGGAAGGAACGTGCCCACAGCAATCAACCTTGGGGTCGGTTTGCAGAGGAGCCACCTTGAGTCTGACCAGTTCTCTCGGCCCCCAGCCCCCCTCCCATCAGCTGTTAGTCCCCCACCCCACCCTGAGCAGCAGGAACACAGCAGAGGCAGAAAAGTTCTCAACTACACCTCTAGCTACTGTCAGCCATTGGCGGGAGGAGAGGACAGAGTTCTGGGTTAGGGTACCTTCAAGCTGCCCAGCAGAAGGAAAGAGGAAAGACTTCAGCTACAGCAGCACAATGAGGCAGGCAACCCACTTGCTATGCCAACCACCCGTGCTCCAGGGCCAAGGGACCACCCTGAAGCAAGACGGAGACAGGCTGGTGCGAGTTCCCAGACACCAGCACCCAGGGCCCTATAAGCCAAACCTCAGAGCCCATTCTAAGAAAGAAGGAGGTACCACACCCCCAGGCTGTCTTCCTCTTTGAGGAACCCCCTCCCCTCCCCAGTCAGCTCCATGCAGAAACATGCCAGGGGGAAGTCAATGGTAGCAGGGGAAAAGGCTAGAGAGCAAAGGCTGCAAGAAACACTGGGGAGGCCAACAAGGAGGGGAGGCCAACGAGAGAGGGGAGGCTGGGAGGAGCCGTACCCGCCCCACGGGCCGTCACCCCGACAGGATATGCCTCACAAACGCTGCAGGAAGGAAGAGACATTAATGGTGAAGACAAGACACAGACGTGGGGTGAAGGGCTCAGGCGGTGGGCGATAGACCTTCCATTTCTTTTATTTCCCATTCCTTCTCTGCCCTTCTCCCACCACATTACTCCTTCCTTTCCTGTCAGAGCCCCCTGGCCTCCCACTCCTGGGCTGGGCCGGGCCCTGCCCCTTGCCTCCTGGCACTTTTTTTGTGTGTGAGGAATATCAGCCCTGAGCTAACATCTATGCCAATCCTCCTCTTTTTGCCGAGGAAGACCGGCTCTGAGCTAACATCTGTGCCCGTCTTCCTCTACTTTATATGGGACACCGCCACAGCATGGCCTGACCAGCATGGCCTGACAAGCGGTGTGCACCTGGGATCCGAACCCAGGCTGCCAGCAGCGGAGGGCGTGCACTTAACCGCTACGCCACAGGGCCGGCCCCATCCTCCTGGCACTTTTTGGATCCCAAGTCTAGGAACAGGGAAGACCACAAATGCTGTGCTTGACCTGCTCTGTATGGCTGCTTCCTCCACGAGAGCCCCAATTCATCCCTCACCTTCATAATTGATACAACCATTGCTGTCCTCGTGCCCTGCCACCAGCATCTCTACTTCTTCCTCTGTCATCTTCTCGCCTGCAGAGGGGAAGAAAGAGCATTTTGGGAATTCGGTGACAGGTGAGGTGTATCAGGTGGCACCTCAGCTCAAGGAGCAAGGGCAGAGCCTTACCCAGGGTGACAAGAACATGCCGGATTTCAGCACCCATGACGGTGCCGTTCCCTTCCTTGTCAAACACCCGAAGGCCTTCGACATAGTCCTCGTAGGTGCCCTGGTCCTTGTTCTTGGCCACGGTCTGCAGCATGGGCAGGAAGTGCTCAAAGTCCAGCACCTTCACATTCATCTCTGCCATAAAGGAGGTGAGAGGAAAGTCACACGCGGTCTCAGGACCACAGAGACTACGGGGATCGCAGCTGAACAGTGGCTCCCACTCTCAGCAGGGGATATCCGTGCGATTTGCTAGTCAAGACCTGCTGGAGCTCAGGGCCTATGAAGATGGAGGGAAGCTCTTAGCTGAAAAACTGGGGGCTCCCTACCACACTGAAGATTTGTTCTTGATGACCCTCACCATCACTCTTGGGGTTCCCCAGGACCTTGAGCACCTCGGCGTTGGTGGGGTTCTGGCCCAGGGCCCTCATCACGTCCCCACACTGGCTGTACAGGATCTTGCCATCCCCCGTTCGGTCAAACAGCTGGAAGGCCTCCTTGAACTCTGAGGATTCAGAAAACATCAGCATGGGGCTGATGGGGTTAACTCAAACCCTCCCTCACAGCCCCCGCTGCCCATTCAACTTTGATCATGCTGACGAAACCAGATATTGATACCAATGTACACCCAAGTCCACTAAGAGGGATCCAGTGTCCCTTCCTTCCAACTCAGGTGTCCCACATAAAGACAGCCCTCTCCCCACTTGGCAGAGTGGTAACATCCATTTACACACCCCCTCTGCCGGCAGCAAGCCTGCCCAGCCTCCTCACTACGCTACTCTGGGCAGGAATTTGCCACCGCCCAGTCTGAGTCCTGTCCTTATAAGGAAGTGGGAGCAGCAGCCCGGGACTGGGGTCATCCTAGTCTGCCACTTCCCACCCGTCCTGTACAGAGAGAGACCTTTCACACAGTACAGCTATAAAGAAGTATCCTCAGCAAACTCCCCGTTCCCATTTTCACAAAACACCAGGTTACTGCTTTTTACAGTCTTCACAATTCCAAGCGGGGGGAGGGGGAGAATTATCACAGGATGATAGAAGAAGCAGAAATAGCTGATTAAGGGACAAAGGAGCGCAGGCAGCTTAATCACCGTCCCCAAACCCCACACACAGCAGGCAGTAGGTGACCGAGTTGTTTCACACACCCACACCACCTAAAACTCACCCAGTGCTTGGGGCTCAGATCTAGAGTGGAAGGGGAGGGAGGAAGAAAGAGTGAGAAAAGAAAATGGAGGATCCAGAAAGCAGAAGGGAATCCAGGAGGCACTCCCTTGGGGGTGCTGAAGAGATGACAGATTGGGGTTAGAGGTGCTAGAGGGAGTGTCTCTCTCCCTAAGCGAGACTTCGATAGGAGTCAGATATTACTACTTACCTGCGGTCTGGTCCTCCGTGAAGTCACACTGCTCAGAGAAGAGGGGAGCGGTCAGCATCTATCCCTAAGCTTCTATCCCAGTCCCACAAACTCTGAACCACAAACTCCTGTTCCATGCTGGGGGCTCGCTTCCCAACAGGACAGGACCCCAGACTTTCCAACCCCACTTCCAACCTTCCAGGCCCTCAGGTTCCCTTTGCCCTCTACCGTCTGCCATCTCCTTGCTCCCTACCCCCGGCTTCCCGCCTTTTCGCCCCAAATCCCGCTTATCCTCCCGGCCCCGGGCCCCACCATCTTGACCGCCAAGCGCTGCGGGACCTTTTCCTGCAGTAATGGCTCCGACTCCAGGCCCAACCCTCGTCTTAGTACGTCCCAATGACGTCACCCTCGGCTGGCCCAGCCAATAGGAATCCTGGTCTGAGCTTATGCAGATGACGCTGCTACGTTAGTAATGCTGTGGGCGGGGCCCGCTGGTGCCCATTTCTCCAGAAGAGCCCCACCTGGGGCACGGAAACCGCAGGAGCTGGGGTGGGGCGCAAGGAATCTGCTGCTCCGAGCAGCAGGGAGATTTGAGGATATCGGCCTAGGGAGAGGAGACCCCTCCCCCACTCCCTCCCCCCCACCGCTGAGAAAAGCAACAGTCGGAGGCCAAGGGAGGAACCATCTCTTTATTTTGAAACAATAGGGGGCCTCCTAGTGGCAGGAACGTGCTTCCGCCTGCGGGGGGCCCGGTGTCCGGCCCACAGCATCTGTGGAAAGAAATGAAAGGTGCCAAGCCCTGGCGCTCGCGCGCAGCAGGGCTGAAAACGCACTTCCCTGCTCTTCCAGCCTGACTGAGGGAAGGGAAGGGAGCTGCCTCTCTAGGCGGAGTAGGATGGCCCTACCTGTAGAGCTCAGACGCTTAGGATGTGCTTCAGGAAGGCTGCAGAGAGAGGAGGCAAGGGGGCTTCAGAAGCAGGCCCTTGGGTAATCCATCTGACTTTAGGCAATCCAGGCCCCAGGGTGCCCCCACCCACATACCGCGAGCCTCCTGCCTCCCCTCCTCCCCGGTCCCTTCTGCTCCTCTGGCCCATCACCTTCATAGTTGATGCAGCCATTGATGTCCTCATGTCCTGCCAGAACAGACTCCACTTCGTCTTCAGTCATCCTCTCTCCTAAACCCCAGACACAGCGTTTTAACCCCGGCCTCCCCTCCCTCACCAAGCCAGGCCATGCTCTTCTGGGTGGTACCTCTTCTTCTCCCACCCTGCAGACCTTCCCAAAGCAACAGACCCCAAAGGCATCCTCTCCTTGTAATGGTAACGCCAGGAAAGCGTTCCTGCATCTCCTTTCCATTTCACCTGCATTAGCACCTGGTGAAAGCTTTGACAGACAAGGAAACTGAATTCCAGAGGGTTGAGTGGTACCAGATCACAGAGTACAAACACCTCCTTCCAAAACAGAAGCTCGGGTCTCCCACCTCATCCCCTTTCCGGGTCTCCCACCTCATCCCCTTTCCTCTGCCCGTTGGGAGGCATCTGCATCCCCTCTCACTTTAGCCTCTGCAGGAGGAAGCCCTTCAGATTCTGCCCCCCTGGCTCTGACCTTCTCAGTCTCCTGCCCACGACCTGCAGGACAGTAATCCCTCCCTGGCTCTGCCTACTTGGCTAACCTTCTTTATGGTCCGCCCCCTCCTCTCCACCCCACAGGAGTTCTGGTCCCTGCCTCACCCAGGGTGGTGAGGACATGTCTGAGCTCTGCTCCCATGACTTTGCCGTCTCCTTCTTTGTCAAACACCCGAAGGCCCTCCAGGTAGTCCTGGTATGTGCCCTGGTCCGGGTTCTTGGCCACTGCCTGGAGCATGGGCAGGAAAGTCTCAAAGTCCACACGCCGGGACTTCAGCTCTGGAGGTTAGAGAGGCAAGGGAGAGGTCACTGTGGTGTCACCTAGGTCCCAGCTCCCATCCTTCCCAAAGGCTCTCATCCTGTTCAACATTCAGGATGTTTTTCTGCCCCTGTGTTTGACAGTTTTTGAAATCCTGAGACCCACCCAGCATCCTCTGTCACCTTAGCAACATCCCTCAGTTCCACCACCACACTGAAAACCCGCATTGTTCCCTCACCATCACTCTTGGGGTACCCCATGACCCTGAGCACCTCGGCGTTGGTGGGATTCTGGCCCAGGGCCCTCATCACGTCCCCACACTGGCTGAACTGGATCTTGCCGTCCCCTACTCGGTCATACAGCTCAAAGGCCTCTTTGAACTCTGAAGTATAAGGAGAGGTCAGTGTTGACCAGGGGTTCCCATCACCCCCAGACAGAAAGGAGGTTCAGAAACTGTGTGCTGGAGCTGGGAAGAAAAGGGGACACAAAGAAGACCAGTGTGGGAGGTTTCAAGGTCGGGACTGGAGCTAGGGGACAAGAAAGGGGATCTGACCGGGGGGCTTGGAACTGGACAGTGGGTGCAGGGGACCAGCATCTCCTCACCCTCCAGCTGGTCCTTGTTAAACTCGATCTGTGGAAAAAAGGAACAGGTGAGGAGGGATGACAGGGCTCGTTCAATCCCTCTCCTGCACTCCTCCCAACCAACTGGCAGCCACTTCTGGGGAGGGGCCCAAAGGGACCAGGCTGGAAGCCCAGCCACTTCAGTCCCATTCCCAGCTCTGGACTTTGGGAGAATCCCAAGAGGAGGAATTATAGGGGGGAGGGTTTCCTGGGAACAGGGTTAATCCCATGCCACCTGTTCCCCTCCCTCCACTGCCCTGAGTCCTGCATCCCTCACATAACTGGGGGCTGAACAAAGGCTAAATTTACCCCTGGCCCCCAGCTGTGATTGTCTAACAAATCTGTCCTCTTCAGCCTTCCCTCCTGGGGTTCAGAGCTGTGGCCTTTAGAGTTGAACAGTCAGCCAGGCACAGGCAGCAGCTCCCTCCCTTCACCTTGAAACTGTCCTCAGAACCCAGATGTTCCCCATCTCACAGTCCTTGCCTCCAGCAAGGGGGTCAGTGAGAGAGAGAGAGAGAGAGAGAGAGAGAGAGAGAGAGAGAGAGAGAGAGTGTGTGTGTGTGTGTGTGTGTGTGTGTATACACGTACACACACATGTGTTAGACGGGGGAGAACAACAAAGACAATAGCAGAATCACAAGCGTGGATGCTTCCAAATGGGGGACTAAGAGGAACCCCCAGTCTCATCCCTAGCACTCACTGATTCCCTACCTTCTAGATACCCCCTAATCCCCTAGGCTGTATCCCACCATTGTACTACCCCCTCCAAATTCTTTCCTCACTTTCAGGGGACTCACCACTATTTTGGAGAGATCGATGGGGGGCTCCAGGATTTTCGGAGGGGCCGGAGGAGGCACAGGTAGAGGGACAGCTGGCTCTGGCTCAGGCTTGGGCTTGGCTGTAGGGGCCCCTACTGCTGCTGGTTTGGGAGCAGGCTTGGAGACAGCGGGCCCTGCTGGTTTCTTCACAGGAATATCCTTCTTGGGAGGCATGATGTCCAGTGGCCAAAGGACAGTGTGCCGATCGGGGCACCCATCTCTGTTTAAATAGCCAGGGAGTCTGGGATGTCAAGGGGCGGGGGCAGGGGCAGGGAGCCAGTTGGCGGTGGGAAGGGTGAGATAAGAGGAGAGATATGCTGGCCTGCCCTCACTCCCCTGGCCTCCTGTGGTTCAGGACTCCTGTCCCAAGGTCTTCTCCCTTCTGTCCACCCCGCCCCAAATGCTGGCCAGAACAATGGCCCCTTTGGGGGGAAGGAGAGGAAGCCAGAGACTGCCTGGAATGGGGGAGTTCACCTCTGGGGTGAGGATAGGATGCTTGCCACTGACAGACACTGAGACAGAGGTGAAGCAAAGAAGGGGATCCAGGCATGCCAGGCTCTCAACTCCCTGACTCAGAGTAGCCCTTTTTTGCTAGCAGCCTTAGACTCTTCATGGTGGAGGCAGGGAGAGGGGCCTTGTGAACTGGGATTGTTAAAGTGGGGTCTGGGAGCAGTGAAACATGAAAAAAACAAGCAGCCCCTCCATTCCCCTCTGACCATAGATGAGGAGCGGGGGTAGCTGACCACTTATAGTCCCTGTCCCCCTCCCTCCCAGCCCAGGACTGGAACTATGCACAACAGAGAAAGAATAATAATAGAAAGACGAGTGTGACCCCCCCATTGTCTCCTGTGCCCAGTGTTGTTTTAGGGGTGGGGGTGGGGGCAAAGGTTGGATCCGGCTTAACCCCCACCACCCATACTCCCAGGGAAGGAACCCTTTTCCACAGGCCCGTGGTCATTCAAGTCGGACAAAGGCAGGGTGCCTGCTGAACCTGCAGGGACTCCGTGGTGACACCTGGGGGGGAAGTGCAGGCTCTGAGAGGCGAACGGCCTAAATTCTAAAACCTCTAATCCAAAAGGATGTGGGAGGTTCCATGGGCTCCATGAGTACTCATCCCCCAGTCAGAGGGATAACAAAAACCCTGACTTGGTTGCCAGGTAACAAACCTCACTGGGGCGCTGGGGAAGGGTCGGAGTGGGGGCCTTTGGCAGAGGGGAGGGGTTGCTGGCTACTTTTGTTGGGGGGAGGGAGAGAAGGAGAGGATTTAAATAGCATTCTGAGGAAGACAGCCGTGATTCTACCTAGGCCCTGGGGTTCAGAGAGTTGATGCTGGGTCTCCCACCCGCAAAAAAGCGTCTGAATCTCATTACTGCAAATTGTCCCATTTTAGGAAAATCAGAGTCATCTCTCCCGCCGAGAGTACATCACACACACACACACACACACACACACACACACACACACACACACACACACACACACCCCTAAGTCTTAAATTAAGGAAAGAGTCCCTCCCCAGCTCCCTAAAACTCACCCTGCAGGGTCCAGGTAAGGGGCGGAGGCGGGGCGCAGGGCGGCCGCGGGCCCTGAAGGGTTAACTCCGGCGGCCTCGGAGCATGCCGGGAGTCGTAGTTCCCGCGCGCCCGCGGGCTCACGGGAAACGCCGCTCTCCAGCTCCAAGCGGAAGCCGGGGCTGTGGCTACCGGCCGGTGGCGCCGGTTGGTGACTCAGGCTCTTTCGGGCGCGGTTCTTGTCCTGGAACTGAAAGGCAATGAGCGATTTACAATCCCCACCCCTCACCCTGAAACCGCGCGCGGCCCTTCAGGGTGTCTCCGTTGCTTGGCCCCGAGTTCCCCGTTTAGTGTGGGCGGGGATATTTTCTTGCATCCACTGGTGAGAGAACTCAGAACCAGGGGAAAGACTGAAGCTGCAGCTGCAGCAGGCCGGATAGAGGTCAGATAGAAGGAAGCACTTACTGCCCCGGGGAGAGTGGTGCCGTCTCTTTAGCTTCCTCTTGCGGTTTGGTGGAGGGAGAACAGAGGCCGTTGAGTTGCTGTCTGACTTGGAACAGTGACTCCAAAGTTGTTTTTATTTTTTTTTAATTGAGCTGGTCGTTGAAGTAAATGTTAAGATTTGGAATTAAGCCCGATCACCTGCCCCACTCTCTCCAAGTGGAAGCTTCTCCATACTGCGGCCACACGTGCGCCAGCCACCTCGTCCAGTCCTCACAGGTCTCGTTGGAACAGAGGGCTGGGCTCACCAGCCTTTCACTCTGAGACTTCTTTGGACCTCCCATTCCCCCAGACGTTTACCAGGGGTCTCCTCTGTGCTAGGAGGGAACCAGCCCAGCCAGGCCCACCTGCACGATCTGGATCAGGAAACGCCCTGGCGGTGACTCTCCTGCTGGAGGCTGAGGCTTCACGGGGGGCGGGGAGGGGTGGGGCGCAGGCATTGGATCAGGGTGGGAAACCCGCGGGGGGTCAGGAGGGTGAGGCATGAGGGAAAAAAGGGCTACTCTGAGTCAGGGAGCAGTAAGTGATGTTCCCTGGCTGGAGAAAGCTTCTCCGAAGAGTAGAAATGGGTCGTAAAACAGAAATAACAGTGATGATGAACAGGCGGTCATCAGCAACCATCCCGGAGGCCTCCCCAGAGCAGGGGCTGCCTGGAGGGCTAAGTCATCTCAGAGAGGCAGCCCAGTGGTGCTCGAGTGGGGCTCAGACCTGCCTGCTTCAATTCTAATCCAGCTTCTGCCAGATGTTTGCTGGAAACCTCCAGCAAGTTTAGTTATTTTTCTGTGCCTCAGTTTCCCCATCTGTAAAATAAAGGTAATAGTACCTACCTCACAGGCCTGTGGAGAGGATTAGACGTGTTAATACTTGTAAAACAAAGTGGGCCTGGCACAGAGTAAGTGGTATATAGGTGTTAAATAAATTTATTTTGGTCTTCCCAACATGTGAGGTAGTTGGTATTTTCCCCATTTTACATCCATCAAGGATCACTAGGCGTGAAGAGATGGAGAGCAAGAAGGAATACATTTCTCCTAAGTGTTTGGTTACAGGACTGTTTGGAGAAGGGCCACATCACAAATGACTTTTTGTGTCTTTCATCACTTCCACAAAAGTTGATTTCGAAGATGTGGTTTATCTGATTTTTTGCCTCTGCTTTTCCTCTAGCCAGAGCGCACTTGTGGCACTTTGCCAAGTAGAAGTGGTTATGGCGTCATCTGACTTTCTAGCATTTTTGTCTGCTTCGGAGAGAAGTAGTGCAAGGAGAAAAGATGAAGACCTTTGGCAAACGTGGGTTGGAGGACTGTCCTTCATCTTTTGTACTGTCTCTTTATTTTAATAGTAAATAATTCACACTGGACTGAACACCATGTTAACTGAGCATAGGTGATTAATACATCGTGTATGTGGATTTTCTGCAACAAATGCCTGTTTCTCCTCTCTTCCTTCCCCCTCTTAGTATGTGACTTGTATGTTCTTAGGGATTGCATATTTATTCTAATATTAGTCTCAATATAAAATAATTAGGAGGGGCACATCTTTAAAAGAAAAAGAAAATGTGTACATTAAAAGCCTAAGAGAACAATTTTTGGAATTATACAGCCCTGTAGATCTTCAGTAGCTTGAATAATTATGGGCTCACCCAATACAGCTTAACTAGCTCTTTAAACACTAGCTAACATGTTAAAATGGATAATAGTTTAGGTAGAGAGAACACTATTTCCTAAGTAAATAGGAAAAAATTTGTTAGGAAAGATGTCTTCAGTCCTCTGGCATTTTGACCGGAGAGTGTTACTGGTGGTAACCCATATAGAAAGAAGAGGGAGGATAAGGAGGATGTTTTATGATACACAGGTAGTTTACAAAGTCCTTTCCAAGTCCCATTTTTATAGGCCTATATAGATACAAGATAGAAACAGAAGAATATATTTTGTGGTGAGTAATGCTAGTTTCATTTTTGTAATGTTCTGAAACAGTGGTTCTCAGTCTTAGCTGTTCTTCAGAATCTCCTGGAGAAGCAGACAGACTTCCAGACTCTGCCCCCAGAGATTCTGACTCTAGGTCTGTGTTAGGGCCTGGGAATCTATTTGAAATATTTTTAGCCTCCTGGAAAGCACAGAGAATAAACTAACAAACATAGGTTAACAAACATAGGTAACCACAGCTTTAATAAAAGGAGTGATCTTTTCAAAATGTACATTTGATCATGTCACGTCCCTACTTAAAATCCTTCCTTGTGTTTTGATAAAGACTAATTCTTTAGATTGGCCCACAAAAGCCAGCAGTTTCAAACACTCCTTGCCTGGACGAGCCACACCTCTGTACCAGCCACACCTACTAGCTTTCAGATCTTCAAAGGTGTCCTGTGTCCTCTTTGCTCAGGTTTGTTGCCTCTGTCTTTTATGTCTCTGCCCCCTCTCCCCACCAACCCACGCTGTTTCCAGGGCCAGGCAGAGCACAGTGCCTGGCATGTACTAGGCACTCACATGTCTAGAGTGAATGGCTGTCTGGGTGAACGGGAAGAGTCAAGGATGGACTCTGAAACTAGTAAGTCGATAGGGAGATAGGTTGAAGATTCAAGAGACTGAGGGGGTTCCCATGTATTGAACTCTTATTTTTACCCTGAAGTAGAAGGTGAGGTGATTTGATTTGCTAAGAGAAGAAGTAGGAGGAGGTGACTTGAGAAGGTAGCGAAGGTTTGAAATAGGTGCTGTGAAAAATGGGAGACAGCTTACTGGGGACCCAGTCACAAAAACTGATTTGACATTTACTGAGCGCCTACTCTGGTCTGCACGTGAACTTGCTGAGCAGCGTGGAGGATGGTTGCGATGGGAGATCATGAATTTGTAATGGCACCAGTCCACAAAGTAGTGATTTCCTTCTTCCAGCAGTAGTTGGCTGCTTGGACAATTGAGCTAGAGAAAAGAGGCAGCTGCAATGGTAATGGGTTGGAGATTTGTAGAGTAGGGATGATGGATGGACATGGGAGCGAGGGAGTTGAGAGTCTGAGTAAAAGGGTTTGTGGTCCAGGCCAAATAGAGGAGTGAGTATAGAAGTGGCCTGTTAGATTGAGAGAATATGGAAAGTCACTAAGAGGCTGGCATCTCAATGAGGTTGAAGAAGTGAGATGAAGATCTCAGAGTTGTAGTTGGAGAAAAGAGTGCATTTGAGATTAAAATATCAAAGGATATAAAGGAAGACAGAAACCAGGATGAGTGGTCATGGGAGTGAATGGTTGAAAGGGTAGTGAGGGGAAGGGCATTGGATTTGAGGAGAATGTCCCTTAGGGTTCTTTCAATTGCAAGTAGGAAAAATCTGACTAAAACTGGCTAGACAGTAAAGAAGATTTGTTGGCTTATGTAATTGAAAAGTCAAGAGGTAGGGTGCAGAGGCCGGCCCGTTGGCACACCGGGTAAGCGCGTGAGCTCCGCTTCAGCCGCCTGGGGTTCGCAGGTTTGGATCCTGGGCGTGCACCGACGCACCGCTTGTTAAGCCATGCTGTGGCGGCGTCCCGTATAAAGTAGAGGAAGATGGGCACGGATGTTAGCCCAGGGCCAATCTTCCTCAGCAAAAAAGAGGAGGATTGGCATCAGATGTTAGCTCAGGGCTAGTCTTCCTCACAAAAAAAAAAAAAAAAAGAGGTAGGGTGGGTTTTAGGTTCATTTTGATCCAGAAGTTGCCAACATAACAAAGGGATCAGTTCTCTAGTTCTCTTGGCACTGTCCTCCACCTGTTAGCGTCTTCCCTGGGTTCCCCTCCTGGAACAAGATATAGCTTAGCTGTGACAGTTCCAGCTATCACTCCCTTATACCATGAGAGGAAGAGAGCGAGTTTCTCTTGACCGTTGGAATCAATTTCTGGACTTCACTCTGACTAGATCAACTTAGAAAAATGCCCATCCACCCTTGATAATCACTATGACCAGGGAAATATCATGCCCTGATTGGCTTGGACAGGGTGTGTCCCTGTCATTGGAGGTGGATTGGAGTCGATCCAAAAGGAAAGGAGTGGAGAGGACACGGAGAGGAAACCAACAATGTCCACCACAATGAGGAACTATGGGACTAGTTATTGAGTGACAAGATGCCAGGAGGATAGCAGTTTTCGGGGTGCCACACCCTTCAGTAAATATTGAGTGACTATATTTAGTGAATGACGGAGATGAGAGAAGGTGGAGACAGTATGTCAGATTGGCATCATCTCCAAAGGAGCTGAGATTTTTATTGCTCTGAGAACAACAACGGGGAGCAGCATTGGGGTGCAAAGAGAATGTGGACCCTACTTCCCCGTGTAAATATATGGGGTTCAGGAAAGGGAGCACTCTCCCCTGGAGGGTGCTCCAGGTGAATGAGGTCTCTCGGGAGGTGAGCCAGGCTTCAGGGGAGACCAGAGTGAGCTCTGTGTAAATAAAGATAAAGAATTACAGGGGTAGAGTAGGTGGGAGTTACCTAGAACTAGGTTTGCAGCCAGCACAGGGGAAAGGTTGCAGGGGAGGGAGCAGAGATTGTGTCAGGGCACTGCAGCTCCTCTTTTAGCCCCTTTATTCTTTGTCCCTTCCTTGTGTTCGGTTAGGTGTTATAGTTACTCTACTTGCATATCACCCTCCTCCTTCGTAGGTTTTTAGTTCTTTT